CCATGCCCAGTGCATTAAAAAAATATTTTTTATAGAGATGGGGTTTCACCATATTGACCAGGCTGGTCTCAAACTCCTGGGCTCAAGCCATCTGTCTGCCTCGACCTCTCAAAGTGCTGGGATTACAGGCATGAGCCACCTCACCCAGTCCTCATCTCTGTTTTCCTACTGTGTTGTTAGCCTTTTTTCTTTATTGATTTACAAATGCTCTTTATATATTAAGCAGATGAACTTTTTTTCTTTAGTAAGAGCTGTAAATAGTTTTTTCCCCAGTTTCTCATTTGTCTTCTGATTTTGTTCATGTGTCTTCCAATTTTCTTCATGTTGTTGTCACTATTGAAAAAATTTCTTTTTTGTTTATAAGATATTTTATATTTATGTTAGCAGGAACTGAAACTAAGGTGGAGAGAAAGAGAAGAGACATGTTTGAAAGACACAAATATTGTGTGTGTGTGTGTGTGTGTGTGTAGCAGGTAGAATGGAAAGACCAGGAAGTATTTTTTGAAGCTATGATAATAGGTGACTTTTGAAGTCTTTTCAAAGAACTGAGCAACAGAGGTCCGAAAATAATCTTTAGATACCACGATTCAGGGACAGGAGAGAAAACGTGGAATTAAGGAAATAGAAAAGGAACTGTCTGGTATGGCAAATGCCACTGGAGGTGGCAGTGTATGCCCCATGTTTGAGGCTCAAGGCCTCTTGGGTCAACCTTCCTTCCAATGGCCTCAGTCGCAGCCACAGTCCTGGGTATCTGAGACGGGCAGATGTATGGTTAATGTCATTGATTCTAGGCCTTCTTTTGTATTTTAAGGCAGGGTGCTTACCAAGGGCAATTCAGTAAATAAGTAATCTTATGGAATTCATTCAAAATCTTAATCATAGTGGCTGAGCACAGTGGCTCATGCCTGTTATCCCAGCACTTTGGGAGGCCAAAGCAGGTGGATCACCCGAGATCAAAAGCTTGAGACCAGCCTGGCCAACGTGGTGAAACCCCGTTTCTACTAAAAATACAAAAAATTAGCCAGGCATGGTGGTGCGCACGTGTGGTCTCAGCTACTCGGGAGACTGAGGCAGGAGAATCGCTTGGAGACCCGGGAGGCGGAGGTTGCAGTGAGCTGAGACCACACCACTGTACCTCAGCCTGGGCAGCAAGAGTGAAACTCTGTCTCAACAACAACAACAACCAAAAAAATAAAAAACCTTTACTGTAGCAGCAACCTGTTACGTATTAACATTTTCCCCTCATCTTCTCCTTTCTCTGTATTTTTGGATAAAGGGCCCATCTAGAGGCTGCAGGGCACGTGTGCGTTTTGAAAGATGCCTTTGACTTTGAAAGCCCATCTGAGATTGCAAACCTCATCTTGGCTGAGAACTGCGAGGCTGCCCTGGCTCTTCATCTCTATAGGGGAGGCAGGCTTTTGCAAGGTAATCCTCTTTCTCTTCAAAAGTAAAACACCAGAAATTCTGAAAACCAGAAGCACTTGTAATGTCCAATAATATGGGAAACGGTGTCTCCTGTTTATCCAGTTCAGAAATGGGAGACATGCAATAATCTCTTTGCTTTGCTTCTGAGTGTCCTCATGGTATGATGGCCAGCTTCTCCCTGAGAGAACCATCAGAAGAAAAGCAAGTTGGAAGTTGCCTTATTTTTCATGACCCAGGCATGTATTTACATGTACCTCCTCCCCCACCTTCAACACACACACACACACACAAATGGAAGCCTACTGCTGAATATATATTCAGCATCTTCCTTTTCACCACTCAGCCACACATCCGGCAACCTTCTCCCATAGTGGCACGTACATAGATCTATCTCATTCATTTTATGGAGATGCCATCATTTAAAGTCTTCAATTAATAAATATTTATGTTGTCTTTAATTGTTCTATTTCGCCCATTAGAATGTGTGTCTCTGTGCAGACATCATAGCATATGAACTTGGGAGAATATATCTGTACTTCCATATTTTTGCATCCATGCCTGAACAATCTAAACTAACTGTTTTCTGTATATGCAGACAGTGTTTCTGAAAGTATTATTTCTAGAGAGTTATTTTCTGCTGAACAAGTATATGACTTTGAATTTTCTTTTTCTTTTTCTTTTTTTTTTTTTTTTTTTTTGAGACGGAGTCTCGCGCTGTGTCACCCAGGCTGGAGTGCAGTGGCGCGATCTCGGCTCACTGCAAGCTCCGCCTCCCAGGTTCACGCCATTCTCCTGCCTCAGCCTCCGAGTAGCTGGGACTACAGGCGCCCGCCACCACGCCCGGCTAGTTTTTTGTATTTTTAGTAGAGACGGGGTTTCACCATGTTAGCCAGGATGGTCTCGATCTCCTGACCCTCGGCCTCCCAAAGTGCTGGGATTACAGGCTTGAGCCACCGCGCCCGGCCTCTTTTTCTTTTTTTTTGACACAGGATCTCACTCTGTTGCCCAGGATGGAGTGCAGTGATACAATCTCGGCTCACTGCAACCTCCATTTCCTGGGCTCAAATAACCCTCCCACCTCAGCCTCCCGAGTAGCTGGGACTACAGGCATGTGCTACAATGCCCAGCTATTTTTTTGGTGTATTTTTAGAGACGAGGTCTTGCCATGTTGCCCAGGCTGGTCTTGAACTCTTGGACTCAAGCAATCCACCCACCCTGCCCTCCCAAAGTGCTGAGATTAAAGGCATGGGCCACTGCACCAGCCTTGAATTCAGTTTTAAGTGTAGTGAAACACAGTCTGAGCTTTGTCTCTGAATGTGAAAGAAGCGTAGAGTTTAACTTTCCTTATAGGCCAAGATGAGGTTCCGAACCCCTGATAGCTCAGTAGGAACCTTTGAAAGGTTGCCACTGACTGTTGCAACTCTTTTGTGCAGTCACAAAGGCCCTGAGTTTAGTGATTCTGTTGACTGTGAGTTGTGTTGTTTTCTTTTCTTTTTCTCTTCAACTTTTAAGTTCAGCAGTACCCGTGCAGGATGTGTAGATTTGTTACAGAGGTAAACGTGTGCCATGGTGGTTTGCTGTACACATCATCCCATCACCTAGGTATTAAGCCCAGAATCCATTAGCTATTCTTCCTGATGCTCTCCCTCCTCCCACCCCACTCCCAATAAGTTGTGTCGTTTTCTGCAAAGTGATATTTATTATTCTTTTTTTTTTCTTTTTCTTCTCTCTCTTTTTTTTTTTTTGAGATGGAGTCTCACTCTGTGGCCCAGGCTGGAGTGCAGTGGCATGATCTGGGCTCACTGCAACCTCTGCCTAGCAAGCTCAAGCAATTCTTGTGCCTCAGCCTCCAGAATAGCTGGGATTACAGGTGCGTGCCACCACGCCCAGCTGATTTTTGTATTTTTAGTGGAAATCGGCTTTCACTGTGTTGGCCAGGCTGGTCTCCATCTCCTGACTTAAAGTTATTCGCCCGCCTTGGCCTCCCAACGTCCTGAGATTGCAGGCTGGAGCCACCAAGTGCGGCCGGCCCCTATTATTTCTTTTTAAATGTTTTACACACATATGTGGAACATTTTATTCCCACAAGTGGGGTTAGGTCTGTACATTTAACTCATATCTTAGTTTTTTTCCAACTCCACAAAGCTACATCTATCTTATTCTTTTGATTGGCTGTGAGGTATTCCGCTGTGAGAATGCACCATACTTATTAAAAGTCTCTCTCTTGGTTTTTTGCTCTTCCAAGCAAGGCTGAAGTATTTTCTATTTTATTTCTTTACTCCATTGTATGTGGATGTTGGAAATACAAATTCCTAGGAAAGCCTGTGGGCCAAAAGACTGTGTAACTTTTGTTTTGATTGACAGTGACAAAATGCTGTATGGAAAGGTTATTCCAGTTCATATTCTAACAGATGGGCAAGGACCTATTTCTCCTCTAGTCAGATGGCTGGATTTTTGTTTTTTCCTTCAAACTTACAGTTCTCAATTTTACCATGCTTGACCTCTGCTTCAAATAAACACAGAGTCATCTGAAGTTAGGTTTGCTTCTCCTAAGAGTTGAAAGAGGAGAGGTGCCCTCTGCAAAACCAACCTGTTGCCCAGAGGAAACAAATCAATTACATTGCTCAATCGAATAAATATCAAGAACGGAAGCCATGCTACTCTTAGTAAATGTGGTTAAACTTTTACTTGTTCATTCCTAGTTGTTGTCCATATGGAAATTAAACAGTATTTATTCCTCAGAGTTATGTTTTTGAAGGTTAAAGTCTGTCCGTGTAGCATCATGTATGAAAAGCACCAGAACCATTGTCAGTAAGAAGAGACGTCCCTCTGCACTGTGAGGTTTTCACTTAACAAAGTATCCAGGGACTTTCTCTGCATGAGCTGCAGACATTGAGTTGCCCTACCCTGTGATTAACTGGCTGTGTGATATTTCATTCTATGCATACACTATGCATTTCTTAGACAGCCTTCTATTCATTAAACTGTATTTAAATATATATAGCACTTACTGATTTTTAAATTACTTAGAGAGGTGACTTGGAAACTATGTAAAAATACAAAGAAGAAAATACGGTACCTGCAGTTTCACCACCCAGAAATGACCACTGTTTGTGTCTGTGTTTTTGGTTTTATTTATGTTTTTATTTAAAATTAATTTTGCAAAAAAGGTATACTTTTACAATATAAGCTTGCAACTTCTTTTGAAAAATATTTGTAGTCCGGGTGTGGTGCCTCACACTTGTAATCCCAGCGCTTTGAAGGCCGAGGCAGGCAGATCACTTGAAGTCAAGATTTTGAGATCAGCCTGGCCAACATGGTAAAGCCCCATCTCTACTAAAAATACAAAAAAAATTAGCTGAGCGTGATGGCGGGCACCTGTAATCCCAGCTACTTGGGAGGCTGAGGCAGGAGAATCACTTGAACCCGGGAGGCGAAGGTTGCAGTGAGCTGAGATCATGCCCATGCACTCCAGTCTGGGCAACAGAGTGAGACTCTGTATCGAGTCTCACTCGATATTTTTATAAATACAGATATATAAAAATGTATTTATATATATCAAATATATAAATGTATAAATATATTTATAAAAAGAAATGTATTTCTATATCTAATAAATATATATTTCTTATATATAATATATAAAAAACGTATTTTTTGTGGAGTATTTAGTATGTGCTAAGCACTTTGATAAATGCTTTGAATGCAGAGCTATTGCTGTATCTGACTCTTGCTCTGTAGTTTGTGCGTATATTTTAAAAATTGTAATCATATACTTCTGATTTAGTAACCTATTTTACAATGTGTTAGAAATAGATTGTATATGTTTCCTCTGTCATTGAATGTTCTTTTGCAGCGTAGTTACGAATGGTCACGTCCTATTTCCATTTTTCCCCTCAGTTATAAATAATATCATGATGAACAAGTTTCTGCATAAACCTTTGGAGCCCATTTCCTTTAGGATTTTCCAGAAATAATCTTGCAGGATCAAAGGGCATATGCATTTTTAAAGCTTTTGTTACGTATTGCCAAGTAATAACTTGTCACATTTATATAACTGTGTATATTAAATATTGCTAAGTAAAACCTTAACATCTTGGACAAGTGGAAGTTTGCTTTTCTGTTTAAAATCAGTATTTGCTGAGCAAATAATTAAATAAAATAGCTAAGTAGAATATGCAAATAATGGGAAATAGCACATTAACAACATTAATACACATTACAGATATATTGCAGGTGTAATGCACATTTTTTTTTAAGACAGAGTCTGGCTCTTGTCACCCAGGCTGGAATACAATGGCAAGATCTTGGCTCACTGAACCTCTGCCTCCTGGGTTCAAGCAATTCTCCTGTCTCAGCCTCCCAAGTAGCTGGGACTACAGGTGCGTGCTACCACGCCCTGCTAATTTTTGTATTTTTAGCAGAGACAGGATTTCATCATGTTGGCCAGGCTAGTCTCGAACTCCTGACCTCAGGTGATTCACCTGCGTTGGCCTCCCAAAATGCTGAGATTACAGGTGTGAGCCACCTCACCCAGCCTGGAAATGTTTGTGTGTGTGTTTTTGTTTTTTTGTTTTGTTTTTGTTTTTTTAAAGATGCAGTCTCGCTCTGTCGCCCAGGCTGGAGTGCAGTGGCGTGATCTTGGCTCACTGCAAGCTCCGTCCCCCCAGGTTCATGCCATTCTCCTGCCTCAGCCTTCCCGAGTAGCTGGGACTGGCAGGCACCGACCACCATGCCCGGATATTTTTTGATTTTAGTAGAGACGGGGTTTCACCATGTTAGCCAGGATGGTCTCGATCTCTTGTCTCGTGATCCGGCTTGCCTCGGCCTCCCAAAGTGCTGGGATTACAGGTGTGAGCCACCGCGCCCGACCGGAAATGTTTTTAAAGAACAATATCAACTTTTATTCCTTAAGCTCCTGGACCAATTTATTATATGAACGTCAAAGTAACACATTATATTTTGTTTCTCCCTCTTGGGCATGTCTGTAAATGTTTTTG